CCCCCCAATAAATTTATTTGAAGTTTTAATTTTAGTTAAAAATAATAACCCCAATCTACAGCTAGTTACCAAAGCAATGGCAAGGAAAAATGAAATTATGACTATTTTTGTTGCAAGAAGCTTTGACAAAATAGTGGACTTCAGGAAAAAATAAATAAATACTACAAAAATATAGAATATGGGATCTTTGAGGTTCATTTAATTTTTTTTTTTTTTTTTTTTGCATTTAGATAAAATCATTCCTGTAGTCGATGGCAGATAAACTGGAAAACAACAGGCTGAAATCAAAGCGTTCAGATGAGAGATCAGACGCTGCTTTTCTCACGCGAGCTGAGAAATCATCATGCACTTCACCTCATCAGTTCAGGACACAGATCTGTCAAACCCTCCGGAGAGGACAGACAGCTGTGTGTGTGTTTTATTCGAGCGTCTCGCTGTCTTTAACAGCCCGTGGATCTCTGCGGAGTGCGTGAGGAGTCTAGAGAGGACGAGGAGAGCTGGAGTCAGCCAGCCGAACAGATAGCGCAGTGTGTTTGTGTGTGTTTTCTGAAGGCTTTCCCTGCTGTTATGAGAGAAAAGAGTGATTGTGGCCCGTGAATCTCAGTGGCAGCTCTGCTCGGCACTGACACACCACCATTCTGGACACTCTAACAGTTGCATCGAAGGGTTTTTAGAGTCGTTTTCTTTTTTTGTTCATCTGAGGTTAGAGTCCACGTCCAAAAGCGTGTTTGAGTTTGACTTCTGAAACGCTTTTGGTTTGAAGGCAACGTGAAACTGCATCCACGGCATGTTTTACTTCTGTATATCGGCACCATAACGGTTATCAGCCAATATCAGTGTTTTAATTAGATTTTAATAATATTTGTATTATTTAATGTAATAATTTATTTTTTTGTTATTTTATTATCATTGATATACAATTACAGTTGTTAATATTTTTAATTTAAGATTTTATTTTTGTAAATATTAATTTTAGTAAAATTTTTACTAAGTTTGCTGTGTGTTTTTGTCATTTTTATTAGTTTTTTTTTTTAAGCAGATATAACACACACAGTTTCTGCCAATCTCATGTTAATCTTGAGTACCTATAGAGTAGTATTGCATAGGGGTCAACCGATTATCGGTGCCGATATTAAGCTTTTTTATGGTTATCGGTATCGGTCGCTTTGAAAACCGATTTGCCGATAAAATAATTTAAAAGCATTTAAAGAACATTTTTGTCAGAGCCCTTGTTGTTCTTAATTTTTTACATTTTTACACCAGACATGCATATCGGTTCAAAATATTGGTTATCGGTTTACTTGATCTGTTTTAAACTTTGCCCATGTTTAGCATGAGAATCCAACTCTTTAACAGTGTAAATAAGCCAGAATGCATGAAATAGCATTCGAACTCCCCTTTAATATGTTTATATAGTCTATTTATATTAAGTTTTAGTTTATTTAGTTACCAGTATATCAGCACCATAATAGTTATCAGCCAATATCAGTGTGTTTTAATAATATTTAAAAATATGTATAATATTTAATTTTATAGAAGGCTGTTTCCAAGCCTGTTTAATTTTGTGAACTTAAGATTTTTTATTTCTCACAATGTAACTTTTATTTCTTATTTTAAACTTTATTTAAACTTTATAAAGTATTTGTAACATAGGACATTTATCGTTTATTGGCCATAACACATTTGAATGTCTTTTTCTTTTTTTGAACGTCAATTTTCTTTCCGTATTTTCCTACAAAGATTCTCACGTGAGTTTGTTGTCTGTCTTTAGGCCGCAGAGTCTGGCATCGTCAAGATCAAAACCATCGCTGCTAGAAACACAGACATCCTGGCAGGTAAGAGCGCGTGATGCTGAGGTAGTGCGTGTTATAAGTATGACCCATAAACTCTGTTGTGTTGATTTGCCATCAGCGCTGAAGGAGAACAGTTCAGAGGCGGTCCAGCCGTTCCTCATGGGCTGCGGAACCAAAGAACCCAAAATCACCCAGCTGTGTCTTGCAGCCATTCAGAGACTCATGTCACATGAGGTCGTGTCCGAGGTCAGAAAACACGCACACACACACACACTCACGCGCACACACACTCGCACGCACACACACACTCGCACACACTCTCACACTCGCACACACAAACACTCACACACGCACACGCACGCACACACACACAAACAAACAGACACACGCACACTCATATGCACGCACGCACGCACACACACACACACACACAAACAAACAGACACTCTCGCACGCACGCACACACACTCTCACACACTCACTCACTCACACTCACACACACACACACACACACACACACCTAAGCAATTCAACCAGGAAGCTCAGCTGTGTATCCAGTTAAAGCATTAGCACATAAATCAACAATATAGAGTGTTCTGTGTATCAGAGCCCCAGCTGAGACCGTCACTGTACTTATTATGAGGGTTATGAACACGCTGCTCTGTCACAGCAATAACATTAGAGTCTCGGCGGTGAGATCGACGGATCAATGGCTCGTTTAGATGAGTTAATGAGTGTGCTTGCAGGCGGCGGCTGGGAACATCATTAACATGCTGTGGCAGCTGATGGAGAACGGACTGGAGGAGCTCAAACTGCTGCAGACGGTTCTGGTGCTGCTCACCACTAACACCATCGTACACGATGAAGTTCTGTCCAAGGTACGGCACGCGGTTAAACTGAGCCATCACACACTCAACGGCGGGTTATAAAGGGCTCGTTTTGTGTATCTCATGAAAATATCTCATGAAAACATGTAATATTTTGTTCATCAATCAAGAGGAAATTATGTATTTTTTGTTGTGGCATAATTGTTTTGATTGTCAGTCGATATCAGGGTTTTGATTATAATTATACATTTTTATAATATTTAATATAATAGAAAAATATGTAATAATAATTTTATTTGATTTTTATTGACCGAGCCTGTTTTCCAGTAAAAAAAAAAAGAAAAGAAAAGAAAAAATTCTGTAATTGTGACTTTTTAATTCAGAATTCCAATTTTATTTTTATTTTTCATAATTTGTAACTTTTTAATAAATTATAAAAAAACCTCGTATCTATATCTATAGCCAATACCAGTGTTTTGATTATATTTTTTTGAATATATAATATTTAATATAATAAAAATATAATTTTAATGGAAGACTTTTCTGTATTTATCAAATAAAGAAAATCTGTAATTGTGACTTTTTCAGAATTCCAATTTTATTTTTCATAATTTGTAACTTTTTAATAAATTATTAAAATCCTTATCTATAGCTAATATCAGTGTTTTGAATATATATAAAAAATATATATAATATTTAATAAAATAAAACTATAATTTTAATGAATTTAAATTTCTGAATTTATAAAAACATATCTGTAATTGTAATATTGTTATCTCAAAAGTTTTAGAATTTGTAACTTTATAGCTCAGTTAATATAACAACTATTTTCTTAATTTAAACTTTCTCTCACAATTAACTATTTTATTTATTTTTAATAAAGTAAAACAGCTCTATTTAATGTTCCTTTCTAATTATTGTAGCATATTGTTGAATATAAACAATTTAAGCTTTTTTACTGTATTTAATTTTTTCTTTACAAAGTGCAACAAAACATCAGCTATTTATCAGTTGTTGTTGTTTTTTATTAACTTTAAAAAATAATTATCTGCTAAAATTTCAATGTTGGATTATACGACATCTACCACAGTCATGAATAATGTTAAAATATGTGATTTCCAGGTTTGGAAAAATCATGGAAATGAATAAAAATCTTACAAAATCATATAGCAAAGTTTATATAGCGAATATAAATATTTATAGTATTCTCAGCTTAAATAAGTTAAAGCAATAAGCCCCAAGAAGCCGGGGTTTACAGTGAATTTATAACAGCTACGGGGCGTTGTTAGGCACGGGGATTATTGCTTTAATAAAACGGTTACTCCATATACGTAGTAAGGTTTCACAGAATAAAACAGAGCAAATAAAGTGTAATGATATTAATAAACACAGTATTCTTCCAGCAAACAATGTAGCTCCTCAGAAACAGTTGTGGTTGCTACAAAGTAGCTGCCGAGCAACACACAAACGTAAACAAAGGTGTGTGTTACTTTGTAGCGTCATTTACAACAGCTTCGAACGCGGCTCAGCCAATCAGAGCCAAGCTCCGGAACTCTCCGCTTTATAATGATGCTTTTATGTTTTATCTCTTAAAAGGATTTTAGAAATCCCTGTCTATTAATCTGAAATGATGGGAAAGCTCGTGGAAAAATATAGAAATTCAAAAGCTGTGGAAATCCTGATTTACATATTGAAATTTCAGAGGCGCAGTAGCCTGTTTAACTCTATGTAGAGCTCTAAGGAAAGTCCTGCACAAACAAATACCTGTGATCCTTCTACACAGTTGAATTTTGTTTTTTAAGGACATAAATGTGAGCCTGCAGCACAAAAGCAGTGTTAAGTCGCTGGGGGATATTTGTAGCAATAGCCAACAATACATTGTATGGGTCACAATTATACATTTCTCTTTTATGCCAAAAATCATTAGTTTTTTAAGGACATAAATGTGACCCTGGGGCACAGAAGCAGTGTTGAGTCGCTGGGGGATATTTGTAGCAATAGCCAACAATACATTGTATGGGTCACAATTATACATTTCTCTTTTATGCCAAAAATCATTAGGATATTAAGTAAAGATCATGTTCCATGAAGATATTTTGTAAATCTCCTACCGTAAATATATCAAAACTTAATGTTTGATTAGTAATATGCATTGCTAAGAACTTCATTTGCACAACTTTAAAGATGATTTTCTCAATATTTAGATTTTTTTGCACCCTCAGATTCCAGATTTTCAAATATTGTCCGATCCTAACAAACCATACATCAATGGAAAGCTTATTTATTCAGCTTTCAGCTGATGCATACATCTCAATTTCGAGAAATGGACCCTTATGACTGGTTTTGTGCTCCAGGGTCACAAATATACCGTATTTTATTCAAATAGAGTAACCAAAACCCCTCACAATCGTCATCCTGCTGCTTTTGTGCTTCATCTCAGGCCATCGTTCTGTGTTTCCGCTTGCACTTCACTAAAGACAACATCACCAACAACACGGCGGCCGCCACCGTCAGACAGGTCGTGACCGTGGTGTTCGAGAGGATGGTGGCAGAGGACCAGAAATTCAAAGGTGGAGGAGACCTTCTGTGTGGCATGTCCTCTTGAATCCAGACCCCTGCCGTCTGCTGCTTTATTCATGTTCTATCCGCTCGCCGCAGGTCTGACGGAAGAGCCTCCAGCTGTCCCGGGCAACAGTAACCGGCGCTCCGTCAGCTCCCTGAGACCCAGCGCTAAAGACGCCTACATGCTGTTCCAGGTGAACTCTTCTTTCCAGTGTTGGGGAAAGTTACTTTTAAAAGTAGTGCATTACGATATTGCGTTACTCCATAAAAAAGTAACTAATTGCGATACTTAGTTACTTTGTTAAATCTGGACAGGGCTTGCTTGTTTGATTTTAAAATAAAAAAAGTTATATTTTTGGCAAATATAAAAGCCTTTTCTCACCAAACGTGAAATGAATGCGCCTCAGGCTGAAGGGAAAGTACAGTAGAATGCAGAAGAAGACATTTCAACACTTCAGCAATAAACAAAGACACACGAATGTTTGTCGAGAGTAATTTGTGCTGATTAGTACGCTTGAACCGGATCATCGAAGCTAATAGAATGGGATTAAATGCATTGTTTAACATTTAATTATTGCAGGTTTGCGTCATATTCTGAGTTGCATTATTTTTATTCTTTTTTTTTATTTTGTGAGTGAGATGAATTAATGCATATTCATATTTATTTTAGAGCTACAGGAACATCTGATTTCTCTCGACATGTGGACAGCAGAGCCGTCAGTCAATAAATTGGAAAAAAAAGTAACTTGCGTAACTTATTTGAAAAAGTAACTCTCTTGTAAATTAAAAAGTAATGCGTTACTTTACTAGTTACTTGAAAAAAGTAATCTGATTACGTAACTCGCGTTACTTGTAATGCATTACCCCCGAGTTCTTTCTATCGCAGTCGATCATTCAAGCTAAAAATATGTCTTAAAGTGATTTTACAAAGTTTTAGAATTTTTATCACGTTAATGTAAAAAATCTTGTGTGATATATAACTTGTGTTTGTTTGTTTGCTGGATTTTATTGTATTTGTTATACTTGTATTTTTTTAATTTTTGTGCCATGAAAATAGCCTTTGATGCTGACATGGCGTTAAATAAATATATACTATACAGTGATTTTACCGTAGTTGAGTCGCTAAAAACCCTGAACCCTCATGAACGGCTGTACAATTTAAATAAAAAATCAAAATGTTAAATAAATAATTGCATTTGCTTGGTAATAATAATAACTATAATAAGTTATTTCTTAAGTAATATAGTTTATAAGATTGACTGTAGGTTGTTGGCAACTTTTAATGTAATGATATATTATAATTAGTGCTGTCAAACGATTAATCGCATCCAAAATAAATGGTTTTCATAATATATGTGTGCGTACTGTGTATATTTATGTATATATAAAAGCACACACATACAGTATATGTATTGAAAATATGTACATGTATATATTTATATTCATATAATTTATATTATATATAAATATATTTAATATATAAACATTGCATATTTTTTTTTAATATATACATGCATGTGTTTTGTATTTATATATACATAATAAATATACACAGTACACACGTATTATGTGAACAACTTATTTTGGATGCGATTAATCTCAATTAATAGTTTGACAGCACTAATTATAATTAATACATTAATGTTCATTAATTAATATAAAATAAACCATATAAAGTGATAATTAATTAATGTAGATTATTATTTTTATAAAATGGTGAAAAGAGCTCTATGATTAAAAAAACTGTTCAATAAATAATAATAACAACCACATCTTTCACAAGTAACATAGTTCATAAGTTTGTAATAATAATAACCATAAAAAAGTTATTTCTTAAATAATATAATTTACAAGTTTGACTGTAGGTTGTTGGCAACTTTTGATGTAATGATATATATAATAATTAATATTCGTTAATGAAGTGCATAATAATTATTAATTAATATAACATTTATGTAGCTTACTGCTTTTATAAAATGGTGATAACAGCTGTATGATAAAAAATATCAGTGTTCAATTAATAATTACATTTATTTGTAATAGTAACCATAAAAACATCTTTCACAAGTAACATGTTTAATAAGTTTGTTTGACTGTAGATTGTTGGCAATAACTTTAACATGAAATATTGTAATATATTAATAGAAATTAAATATCAAATTAATATATTCTAAAATTAGAATTTAAAAAAATCTTTGTATCACTGCACAGCGTCTTGTTGTCTTTGGAGCATCTTTATCGTTTGGTTTCTGTGTAGATAGTGCTGTAGAATCGGTGGGCGGGGCTAATCAGGCAGTGATGTAAAATCGGTGGGTGGGGCTAATCAGGCGGAGATGCAGAATCGGTGGGTGGGGCTAAACAGGCAGTGATGCAGAATCGGTGGGTGGGGCTAAACAGGCAGTGATGTAGAATCGGTGGGTGGGGCTAATCAGGCAGTGATGCAGAATCGGTTCGAATATATATATATTGAAAGTAGAAAGTGAAGTTGAAAGTAAATATTGAGCTTTCTGTACATATAAATGTGCCGTTCTGCAGGATTTGTGTCAGCTGGTGAACGCGGACGCCCCCTACTGGTTGGTGGGAATGACCGAGATGACCCGGACGTTCGGCCTGGAGCTGCTGGAATCGGTTTTAAACGACTTTCCTGAAGTTTTCCTGCAGGTAATCCCCACACATCCCGACGAAAACGAACACTCCTGAAAGACGGATGGCAAATAAACAAGAGAAAATGACTCGTTCCCAGCTTCCGATGGCCCTCTAACCTTTCTCCCGGTCTCTGTGTAGCATCAGGAGTTCAGTTTCCTGCTGAAGGAGCGCGTGTGTCCGCTGGTCATCAAGCTGTTCTCTCCCAACATCAAGTTCCGTCAGGGCAGCAGTAGCAGCGCGTCGTCTCCGGCGCCCGTGGAGAAACCCTACTTCCCCATCTGCATGAGACTGCTGCGGGTCGTCTCGGTTCTCATCAAACACTTCTACAGCCTCCTGGTGAGACGCACACTCATGCTCCAGTGCCTCATAGAAATTACCTGAAGTCCGCTCATAATGCTAGTGAAGGTTTCTTGCACCATAAATGTCATTGTTTTACTCATAATGACCATTTTCCGCTTCCTCTTTGATATTTGCAAATAAACAGACAGCTGTTTTAAGGCAAGACAGGTTGTTTTTCATGCACTGGTCATGCATTTGGCTTTTTAAAATTTCTTGTTTCAGACTAAGTTCAAAGTAAGCATTTAAAATTGTAATGCGCCTTGCGTCTGTAGATTTCAATTACAGTACATATCATAAGTCGTTTTCTCAAAATGAGTTTGTTTCTCCACTTCAGCAGCATTTACATACAGTTTTATTCCTATATATACTCTATATATACTTTTATAAAGGGGTATATAATATATATTATATATATAATATAAGTATATAATATATACTTTTAATAGAGGGGTTTGTTCATATATCATTCACCTGATTTTATTTATTACAGTATTTTCTGAAGGATTATGGATTGATAAAAAGAGAAACTCAATGATTCAGTCTTCAGATTTATGTTCTGGAAATACGTGCATATTTAATGCATAATTTCCATATTTAAATATGACATTTCAGAAAACCTAATGCAAAAAAAAAAAAAAAATTTTTGCAATTCCTAATGCAATCAATCAACTGGGGAAGTAAGGTGATATCTATTAGATAATTTTTTTTTTACCCTGTTCACCTGGGGTGTTTTGCCTAAAAGTTGCTTTTTAAATATGTAAATGACCTTTGTTATGATGCATAATGTTCATCAGGATGGGTTGCTGAATATTAAAAAAGGTGTTGTTATGTAAATGTAGGCAGCCACATCTTAATGAGCTCAGAACAGTGAATATTTTTCAAAAGACCAAGAAAATTCAGTTTGCTCATTTAATATCTATAGTTTAATGCATCTTATTGCATTAATGTTGATATATCGGTGTGTTGGATTTGTTTGTGGTGCACTTCTGTGCTGGAAAACATTTTCAGATATCCAGCACTGCAGATGCTGATTTCTGCATCCACAGCTGTGTGTGTGTGTGTCTGTGTGTGTGTGTCTGTGTGTGTGTGTCTGTGTGGTGTGTGTGTGTGTCTGTGTGTCTGTGTGTGTGTGTGTGTGTGTGTCTCTGTGTGTCTGTGTGTGTGTGTGTGTGTGTGTCTCTGTGTGTCTGTGTGTGTGTGTGTGTGTGTGTCTCTGTGTGTCTGTGTGTGTGTGTGTGTGTGTGTCTCTGTGTGTCTGTGTGTGTGTGTGTGTGTGTGTCTCTGTGTGTCTGTGTGTGTGTGTGTGTGTTGCAGGTGACGGAGTGTGAGATCTTCCTGTCTCTGCTGGTGAAGTTTCTGGATGGAGAGAAGCCGCAGTGGCTGAGAGCCGTGGCGGTGGAGTCTGTGCACAGACTGTGTGTTCAGCCGCATTTACTGCAGTGAGCGCTTGTACACTTGCACACACGTGTTTTTCTGACATGCTATTATTTTTATGCGGATCTAATGATGTTTTCTGTCTCCTAACCCTGAACCCAAACAGTTTTATTGTTAGCTAATTAAAATGATCTATTAAGCATATTTTTTGTTAATGAAATAAAGCTAAAATAAAATTAAATATAAATATTAGCTGAAAAATTTGAAATGTTGCCTGTAATAAAATGAAATAAAAATATTTGTTGAAGTACTAGTACAATTACCAAAACTTATCCAGTGAAAATGACATTCATAACATCTAAAAACACTGAATTAATTTATTTTATTGGCTTAATAGCATAAAAAAACTTTTTTTATGTCATATAATATATAAACTGTATACAATCAGTTCTACAGATTAATCTAATCTAATATAACAATATCATAGAAACTATAATCAGTAACATGCAGTAAACTAATATAAAAATACAATATATAAACAGTAATAATCAATCAATTATACAAATTAATCTAACACAATCAAATCAAATCTAATATAAAAATAAAATTTTCAAATAAATAAAGTAAAATATAATAAACAGTAACAAACTTTATTTAAAAATTTGTTACATTTTAATTTTGCTTTTAAAAATTATTTTGTCACAGCACAGAAGCATTTAAACTAGTGAAGGGTGACTCAAAATGTCACTCTTTCCTGTGTTATATGTATATAAAGTTTAAGGGGGAAGTCGTGGCCTAATGGTTAGAGAGTCGGACTTGTAAC